CTGCGTGCCACGACGACGGCCGTTCGGGGCGGCTCGCGGCGCGCCAGACGATGATCCCTGCACGGCAGGACGCGCAATATGTTGCGGAGCGCGCGGCGCGTTATCGGCCAAATATAGCGCGGTCGGTACACGATACGACCTCGAGCCGCTACCCGCTACTATTCGGACTACAGCGATAGTTGCGACTTGACGACGACGACAAGCACGACGATGACGATGACAAACATGACAATGACAATTACGAGGACGACGACGGCGACGACGGCGACAATGACGACGATGATGATGATGACGACGACAACGTGTTGGCGCGGCGCGAGTTTAACACGCGGAATGGAAAGACACACCAACATAAGGAAGTGGTGATGATGACGAAGGAGGATGAAGCGGCGCGATGACAAAACTACACTCGTATATTCGATCGTGTGTAACATCGACGATGATGATGATGATGATGATGGTGATGATGATGTTGCGTTGGATGAATGGGATGGATGGTCGTTACCGAAATCACCGTTCATCTCAAGACGGGCCCGGATGGTCCCATGTGCCCTGAATCTAGCGTTACGAGATGCCTGCCTGCTCGCTCGCTAGCTAGCTCGTTCTCTCTCTCTCTCTCTCTCTTTCTCTTTCTCTCGAACGGCCTCGTGCAGATCGGTTTCTCGACTAAAAGCTCTCGAGGCACACTTGGTTGTTCGCTTTCAGATCGTCGTACGCGCGGGGCGTCGCGAGCGCATTCGCAAATTCGTACGTTCGTGAATCACGTTCGTTCAACCTCGCCAATCGACTAGCCAGCTAAGGCTCGATCGTTGCTCGCCCGATCGCTCGCTCGTTCGCACGTTCGCACGCACGCACGCACACGCTCGTGTGCGCGCGACAAAATATGTACGCGAGGACGGCTGGCGAGACAGGCGGCAGGCGGCGACGAGATTGGCACGTTTCCTCGCGCGAATTCGCGAGGCTGCGCGACGCGCCCGTTACGATCCGCCCTTGTGCGTCCTACGGCCCACCGCGCCGAGCGGATCAACCCGCGGCCGTTTCGCACGACGATGTTTCCTTACCGAGGTGGAAGAATCGAACTCAACGCACAGTCTCTCGAGCAAACTACAAAATGGCGGAAGGCACATGCCGTGGCGCGCGGTGCATTCTGGGGCCCCGGTGATGCGCCGTGCGCCCGTGCACACAGCACAGCCCCGCCGACGTGGGGGCGCGCAGGCGCCGCCGCCTGCCACCCGCCGCGCGTCACTTTCGAATCTATGCAAAGTTCCGGGAGTATATTGGAATTCCCCCGAAAATCGGCTGTTGTATATGTACGGAAAGAAAGAAAAATGTGTGACCTCGGAGTCGAGACGGAAATTTCATGTTCATATTTTTCAGAATCGAACAAACTAACGAAGAGATTCTTTATATCTTATACTTGCTTACTGTCTCTCTTTGATTCTTCCTTAATTTAATATTAAGTATTTTTTTATTGCTTTTTTTTTCATTGATAGAAGAAAATTAACTAGAATTTAAGTACCATTTAAATTTTTGAGATAGACAAAATATTTAGAAAAAGCACAATGGATATATTTTAACTTTTATTCTTTTCTCTCTCTTTATCTTTCCTCTCATATAGATATTTCCATTAAGGTACTATGAAAGCTTAACAGAAATTCAATTTTTCCTCTATCAAATTATTCTTTTTATCTTTGGGACTTTAAATCGAGAGAGAGAGAAAGAGAGAGAAACTAAATTCCTTCTAATTCTATATATTCTTGCATGAAAAGTACATGCTAATGTATTTTCTCCGAATAAGCAGTTGTAAATAACAATTGTTTGTTTTGTTTGAGAACATATTTTAACTTTTTCGCAATTCATTTTGCATGCTCCACAATATATTACATATTCCTCGAATAATTAACAAAATATGTTACACGAGACATATACAGAAAAAATATGCATATCTCGTATAATTATTAATCTATATTTTATAATCCTGTTATGTGTGGCTTGAACTAAATTAATTCGAAGAAACTGCGATTCTACGAAACGTGATTGTAGCAAGCATAGCACAAATGAAATCGATAAACAACGATAACTTATCTAATGATTTTTTTGATCATCTATATCGTACATTTAATGAACACTTGTATACTTGCGGCGATAGAGATATGATTCTTAATGTATCTACAAATTTCTTAATTGGTTTAAATTCCTTTTTCTCTCTACCTCTATTGTTATCTTTATATTTTATATATAAAAAGTTTATATATCACAATATATTCTTATTGTATACCTATGTACACAATTTTAATATAAATAAATAAATAAAAACATAAATCTAAAAAAACTTCAATTTTTTAAATCATTGATTTTAATAACTCTATTTTCACCAAATTTTAAAACGCGACAAAGAGGAAAAAGAGAACGCGTTCACAAATCACACTCATTCATGTATTCATTTATTTATTTATCTAGAACAGCCACAAATTTCCATTAACTCTCATTTTTATTATTATTTCAAAACAATTTCTCGTTTAATAATTACTGGCTTAAAAAAAGGAAAGCAAGAGTGGAGACAAGACATGGGGAATGGGCAAAGAAGAATGTCCTCTACAAGAAAGGAAGAACCAAAACTGTCCTACAAATATTCAACAAATCGTCGCAATCAAAAACAAGCACGAAACACTTTTCATTTTCGAAATATAAACGTAAAAAAGACAAATTTCTTATCGCTTTTTCGTTACAAGACGAAGAGATACGGAGAAGAAGAGCGGATGCGAGGAGAAAGAGCAGAATCAATCGGGAACCTACGGTTACGCTTTGCTGCCTTCTCGGAACACGTCTATCGCGCCCAGGTACATACTACCTAACGCAAGAACGAACATCCATCCGGCGTTGCTAATCACCGCTCGTTCATCTATGCCTCTACCTCCTCGACGATGATTATCAAAATCAGGTGTGTCCTGCTGCAAGGCAGGAAACTCCTACCTTAGCAGCCGCTATCACTTAACATAAGGCTTACAGTGTGATGTATTGCTTTTATATCTTGAGAAAAAGATTTTCTGGTTAGAGTAGAGTATATTGCCTATACGCCAGTTATACACCTATATATCCTCTCTTTTTTCGCTATGTCTCTTCCTTTCCTCCTTTCTTTAACCTTCTCTTTCGTTTACTTCCTTCTCCGTTTCGTTTCTTTCTTTTTTTATTATTGAAATATATATGCGCGCGTCGTGTGTGTGTATATATATATATATGTATATATATATATATATATATAATATATATATATATTTATATTTATATGCTGATGTGTGATAGAGTATAATCGGGATATCCCACGAGGAGTTTAGTGACTGATATACAGATTCAATTTGAGACAATGATGAAGCGTTGACGAGGGGCGGAGCTGTCTGCTGTTGTAAGTTGTGGCATGGATGATGATTGTTGTTGTTGCTGTTAGTCGATTAAAAACCATGGACTTTCAGCTGGTCAGGTTTTGCCAGACCTGACTTTGTCAGCCACTGGCATATATTCTCTCGTTGGTCCCCCTGCAGCTGCAGCACCTCCCCGTACTCCGGGTGCTCTATTACTGTCCCATTGCAGGCAAACTCCTATGTAAGTATAACAATAAATCAGACTAAAGATTCATCAGAAATTTTTATCTTACTAGAAAATTTAAAAATTTCTTCTAAAGTATATCAATTTCTTTATCTCTAAGAACAATGTATTTAAAACTTTCCAGACATATCAGTATGAGATAACCATGACTAATTATAACTTCTGTATCACATAGCTCGGATATTTCCAAGTTACAAATATAGCAGTTATAAATTCATGAAACAAAAATTTAATAATTGTAACTGTATGTGTATATGATTTCAAGATATATTCTTCCAATTATAATAAAAATGTATATAATAATTTAAATTTATATTTTCATATGTCAATAAATTATTTCTATCATATTTCTTAAAATATCATTTCTAGTATATATATAATAATATACAATTATATAAGTTATGCTCAACAATTATAAATATTACTAGATAAAAATATACTTGACAATATATATAGAAAATATAATTCTTCCAATATACAATAAAATAATCTCCATTTATTTATTTGTGAAAAACTAATAAGAACATTAAATATTAATAACATCAAATATTAATTAATGATTCACCCAACAATGAACAAAGTAGCTATAAAAAGCCAACTCATTGGCGATGATTTCGAATCGAAACAAAGAATATGCCTGCTATGTGTCAAACCACTTGTAGATGTATTTGAATGCTACTTTCTCAGAGAATTTGCAAAACTATATCTGTTTGCTGTGTACTGTTTGCGATTGTTTGCATCAGACCTATTTTTAGAGTTCTGCCTGACTGAGTAGTGGTGGGAGATAGTGGGGAGGGAGGCACAACATGATAGAGAAGGAGTAAGTGGAGGTAAGTGGAGGCAAGTGGAAAGGGTAGATAGGTATGTTGATGGTAGGAGAAAGGATCGGCGGAAATCTCCAGAGGGAAAGTCGCTCGCTCACCTTTTTACATGCTCTCACGATTTTCTTCAAGTCATATTCCGAGGAGAGTCCTTGCACCGTTGTTAAGGTTTTACGACCATTCCGCTGCTGGATCCTTATATGCACGAGGCCGTCCTGGACATCATCGTCTGAACCCTTGATTGCATCTGCAAAGGGGTCTGCAAAAGAAATAGAGATATAAAAGTTGCGTGCTAAACTGCAGCGGATTGCGCAGGATGATGCAAGGGCAACGCGCGAACTGCGCCATCGCCATTTTGATCGCCTCGGGATCTCTCATCGCGCCGATAGTGCCGTTTTATCATTCTCGTTCACGAAGGATGACGTGATGGAACGAAAAGAGACAGAAAGAGAAGAGGGAAGCGGGGGAGCAAAAGATAGACAGGGAGGGAGAAGAGGGAGATGATAATGCTCGATTTTTTTTTTTTTTTCACTCACCGAATGTGTTGAGATTCTGGATGGACATACGACAAACAAAAGAGACCCCTCGGATGATATAGAACTGCGGAGCGCAGGTGGCGGTCGTTGAGCAGAGGATGTAGATTTACGTGGCGATCAACACTCGAACGGCGTGAGGATGAACTGCGGAGAACGAGTCGACGAAAGCAAGCGCGATGGCCGTGTACGCAGCCGGAAGTAAAAGTTGCATTTGTCACGGCGCGATGGGTGGGGTTGCGAGCGATTGGCGTGTTCCCGAAACGAGCTAAATCATGCCAGAGGCATGCGATTGGCGAACAGCGCGATACGTCGGGAGGACGCAATTGGTGCGCGGCTGAGCTGTCGATGGTTGCGATTGGTAGACACGATGTCATGCTATTGGCTATCAAATATAAAGAATTTTTAAAGTTCCGTGAATTTTTCCATTTGATAACCAATCGTGTAACATTATGTTTATGTGTTTTTTATTAGAAAGTTTCCTATGTAACACGTATCATACCAATATACATGAATATGATTCTAGCGAAAAAAGTTTATCTTCTCTCTCCAAAGTATGATACAAAAATTTTAAATTTTAAATTATATATATAAT